CGTTGCTCGCGTCTGCGCCGCCGCCGGGCGTCGAGGTCGAGGTCGAGCCCGAGTCGAGCGGGCGCTCGAGCAGGTCGACGCTGACGAGGCGCTTGCCCGGCGGCTTGCGGCTGTCCCACTGCACCTTGATGCCGGCCACCTGCGGGAAGCGGCCCTCCTGCTTAGGGTACATGCCCAGCCCGTTTTCCAGCGCGTCCCAGATGTCCTGTCCCTTGAGCTCCTTGCAGACGACAGCGTCCTCGAACGGCATAATCTCGAGCACGTCCGAAAGGGCAATCTTGCCCGGGCCGTACACCTGGTCGCCGCGGAGGCTGCCGCCGCAGATGATGCAGCAGTCGACCTCGCGCACCTCGGGCGGGCGCGACTCTTCGAGCTCGCCGCGGTTGTCCCTCTCGCGCAGCAGGTCCTCGTACGACTCCATGAGCACATCGGCCACAAAGTCGCCGATGGCCGACTCGTCGGTGCGCACCTTTTCCGACCGCACGTCCCAGGGCGTGATGGTGTGGGCCACGGCCTGGCCCGTCGACTGCGACACCTTGCTGAGCAGCTCGTCGAGCATGCCCGCGAGCTCGGGCGAGGTCGGGTCGTCGGGCGAGGCGCGGTACCGCTTGACCGTCAGGCGCTGGATCGTGCGGCGGCGCACCTTGGTGTCGTCGCGGTCGCTCAGCTCCAGCTTGAGCTCGCTGAGGTCGCGAAAGTCGGTCCCGCTCTTGACCACCATGGCGCCCTTGTCCTTTTCGGTGCCTGGCTCTCCGCGGCTGAAGTCGTCGCCCTCGTAGGCAGCTGCGCCGTTGCCGACGTAGTAGACGTGGTCGTGGCCTCCGAGCACGAGGTCGACACCGTGCTGGCTGGCGTCCGCATTGGCCACGGCACCGACGGCGTTGGCAAAGTCGATGTCGTTGGGCAGGCGGCTGTGGGTGATGGCGATGACGAGCTCGCACGCCTCACCCTGCGGGTCGCGCAGCTTCTCAGAGAGCCTGAGGGCCGTCTTGGCCATATTGCGGTAGACGAAGCTGGGCGGAAACGAGGGGACTGTAGCGATCCACTCCTTCTCCACGATGCCGATGCAGCCGACCTTGACGCCGGCGACGGTGGTGGTCCAGCTCTGGAGGGTGCCGGGTACCTGGGCGTCGTCGTCGCCGGGGTCCTCATCCCAGGGCTGCTTCTTGTCGTCGCTGCCGGCGTCGACGACGTTGGAAAAGAGCCAGGGGAAGTTGTTCTGGGCCATGAGGGTCTGGAGATGCGGGTAGCCAAAGTCCCAGTCGTGGTTGCCGAGGCAGGCGCAGTCGAGGTTCATGGCATTGATGACGGGGACGAGGTGGGTGCCTCTGGTGACGCTGCTCTCGACGCTGGGGCTGTAGAGGTCGCCCGAGAAGAGGACGAGCCCCTTTCGCTGGCGCTTGGTGGCATGGTCGGTCCAGTCGCGCACCTGCCGCTCGTCGTCCGACGTCTTTGGTGGCGGTAGGTTGGCGAGGTCGTCTGGCTCGCCCCAGCTCTGGCGGATCTTTGCAATCTTGGCGGCAAACTGGTCGGCGCCGATGCGGCCGCCCGTCTTCTTGTCGACCTGGCGTACGCGGTACACATCGTTGAAGTGCACGATGGGGATCGTGACGGGCGCCATGTCGGAGGTCGAAGGCGGCCGAGGTCGGAATTAGACTGAGCGAGCAAGGGAGAGGCGGGTCGAGAGGTGGCGCGGCTGAGATAAAAAGAGCGTGCGAGGGCGAAACGAAGGAGCGAGGAGTGCGGGCAGCAATGAAAGAGGAGGGCGAGGGGGGAAAAGGGCTGATGGTGGTGGTCGCGGAAAGGAGCAGAGGGCCCAGTCCAGGGGCCTAGCTTTGCTACTTGGGCCTGCATGCTCCGTGTGCGTCTGTGCGCGTCCCGGCACCGGATTACGGAAGTGGGGCCCGGGAAGCGGGTTCTTCGGCCCGACCGCGTGGGCCAAGCAGCACCAGCAGCAGCAGTGCGGAAGCAGCCAACGGGGTCCAGGGTGGCGAGGAGGGATAGCGAAATGGGTCGATCTGTTCGCATGGTATATCAAGGGTGACTGCAGGGATACATAGGCAGAGCATGGGTCTACATTCGGGAATGACAGGGAAGGGATAATAACCAAGAGCAAGGCATCGGCCGGGCCGCTCCGTCAGCCAAACGGACCTCGCCCGGTGCCGAGGCCATTGAACATGCCGCCCAGCCTGCCGCCGCCTGCCGCGGGCTTGATGGGCGACAGCTCGAGGGGAATGTTGTAGTCGGGCTGCAGGCCGCCATTCTCGTCGCCGCGGCTGGCCCACGCCATGAGGCCCGGCGCACCGCCTCCCACGGCGCCGCCGCTGCTGCCCAGCAGCTTGCGCTTCTTCTTCTTCTGCGGCGGCCCGCCCGCGTCGTTGGGGCCCATCGCCTTTGTCGCGGCGCTGCCCATCGAAGGCGCCGTGTTGGGTGACGGTCCTGGGCCACGCGCGACGCGGGTGGCGACCCGAC